CAGGTTAAGATATTTGTAGAAAAACAAATCACTTTCAAATAGGAGTTTAAATTTATTAAATTTATTAATTTTTAAAAAATTATAGCCATATTTATATAAATTTATATAAATGTAAAAAAATTTTTATCAATTATATATATCTTCTGGATCCCCCAAGTATTGATCATATTCATTACCATTTTCATCATTGGAACCTTCAGATTCATCATTATCATTATTATCATAATCATCAGGATCCAAAATAAATGGAATTCTATCCAAATCAAAAATATTTTCAATAATTACAAACACATCATGATTTGGGATTACTAAATTTTGTTCAATAACATTTTCTGTATCATCATTATGATTATTCTCATTGTCATGATCATTACCATGATCATTGTTAATATTATGATCATTGTTAATGTTATGATCATTGTCATCATAATATTCAACATCATCATCATCTTCCAATGCTTGTTCAACCATTTCTCTTAATTCCACAGGATCACTATTTTTTGTTATATATTTTAACTCTTGATTGATCATTGACAAGTAGTATGATCTCACTTTAGCCATACCTTCTACTTTTGATACAGCGAGACGAAGACGATTTTTGTTGTATATCCATCCAAGAGTTGAGAAAACCCTTTCACATGCAGCACTATGTGGTGTAATATCATACATTAAAAGTGCTAACTTTTGTAGATTTTTATGTGGATCATCTACTGAGAGCCACCAAATTTTTGGTGTTTCGTTTAAAAAAACATAATCATTATCATATGGTGATATTTTTAGTTTATATTTACGCATTTGTGACAATAATATTTCTTCTGATTTCAGGCTGCTATCTATACTTTTCCATATTTCACGTGCTGCCTCAACTATCAATTTGTATTGTCCTGTTTTAATGCCAATGTCTATTTAAATTAATAATAATAATTAAAATTTTAAATTTTAAATTAGCCAATTTATAATCTATATATACAGAATAAAATTTACCTCTATACCCAGGGTGTAAAAAGTAAGCCAATATATAAGGATCGATTTGAAATTCACCCCATCTTTTATTAAATGCACAAATTGAATGTCTTTTTAATTCAATCATGTTGCCAACATTAATATTTTTTAATTTAAAAGCAAGACGAATCATTTGTATAAATACATCAGCTAGAGTTGAATTATCACTTTCTAAGATTTTTATAGTGTTTTTAATTGGCAATAATATTTGAGACAATGATGCAACTTCTTCAAAAAACCCTTGCTTTTTCAATATTTTTTTGACTGGTCTGCTTTTAATTTCATCAGGATACTTAATAACTACCTAATATTTTAAATAAAAAATGATAAAAATCTGATCAATTCAAATGCATCTAATATAATCAATATATTGCATAATAAATTATTAAATAAATACTTCTTCTAAAGCTTGACGCATTCTTACAATTGAATTTGTTGATTCAAAAATTGATATCCATCTTGTCTTAATGCAAGTTTTGAGACCGCCTCCTTGAATTGAAAAGTAACTGGCTTCATTCATCAGCAAGTTTTGACAAATGTGAGATTTTTTGAAATATTTAATTATAGTTGAGCATTTTGAAAGTATATTAGAAGCCTGTTCATGATCTAATAAAAAAAAATTGAGGCATTAAAAAATATTAATATTAAAAAAATAATAAATATTAAAAAATTGTTACTCACCAATGATTGATTTGGTAATCAAGTTCACAAAATGAGCTATGCATCTAAGATTTATTATAGATGGGTATTGTTTAACAATTATTTCACGTGCAAGCTTAACATTAGCACCATTATCTGATACTATGGCTTTAAATTTATCAACTCCAATTTTATTGATTACTGTTTTAATTTCTGCTGCCAAAAATTGACCAGTATGGTGAGAGCTGGAGTAGTCACGAAGACAATATAAATATTGATTTTTTTGTGGTGTTAAAATGATAAAATTGTATATGGAAAATGAACCAGGAGATGACCACCCATCCAATGCTGAAAATATATAAATATATATAAAAATTCATAGATATGGGTTAGATATAAAATATTAGTGCACCAAATAAATTATTATTTTACAATCATTTACCAAGAGTAAGGTTTTCTCCAACTTCTAATTCTTTATCAATTCTACTATTTACTCTAGCAATTTCTTTGCTCAACAAGTTTCCTGACAATGTTTGACGTGTTGGAGGAGAATAATTTGGTCGTAATTCATGTAGAAGTTCTTTAAAAAATGGGTTATTAATGACATTAAATGGAATTCCACATCCAACAAATGCTTTTACCAATGCATCCTTTTTTGAATCTGTGAGTTCTTTGCCCTCATAAAAATCTTCAATCCCTTGCTGCCCATCAAGTTTTTTTCTTTTAAATGAATTAGTTGACTGAATTGACATTCTTGAATTTGATGACAAATTATCATCAACTGACATATTATCATTTGTTGATAAAACTCCAAGATAAAAATTACATATATCATTAGGACATTCAACACAATCATTAGATAGATGTGCTTGTAAACTTTTCACATATGCTCTACCCCAATTATGATTGCAAAAGATACATTTAGCAGAAAAATGGCCAGCTGATTTAAGTGGTGTTTAGTAAAAAAATTCCAAACTTCATTGAGTTTTCATCCTGAATTGCTGTTATTTTGTTTAGACATTCAAAAAATATTAGCTATCCTTGTTTGTTATTTATTATTATTGTCTTAATTATTATAATTATAATTATTATTGTAATGGTGTAGACCTTAAGAATATTTTGAAAATTGTGATGTGCTTTAATTATTATTACTAGATTAATTATTGTGTGAAGTGTGAAAATTGCGGTGCCCATAAATTACCTTAACTAACTTAATTATTATTATCTTAACTTAATTATTATTATCTTAACTATCTTAATTATTATTATTCTTAACTATCTTAATTATTATTATCTTAACTATTGTGAGATCAAATATTCCGTCTCACACAAATCTATTAATTTGGTTATAATATTATTTATCCCTTCCTATGGCAGTATCCAGTTGTGTAATTCTTTGATTACTTTCTCTGTTTTA